GATTGACTTATGGTTTGCGTGTTTTAAAACATGTACAAACTTAATACTACCGGCAAAAAAGTGCTATCTGATCTACTAACGGTGCGCAGTGAGGATTGCGTCTTTCAAATGAGCAACACAACACGCATTGTTCATTTAGTACGTTTGCTTTAATAAATATGCAATATGGGGCGTTTCTGCCTGAGTGTGCGAAATACTGGGAGGAGAAAATTCAAGCAAGTTAGTACACGCTTTGTGATTTACCAAGCCTGACAAAAACTGCGGTGATTATGACGGTGTCTGTATTTAACACCTTTGAAAGGAAGGTGCTAACCCAGGAGACCAGTGTTACACACAACAGGCTGCTGTTATTGTAGTTAGGAGGAGACATAGGCACAACAAAAGAAGGCATAAAGATCAAGTTTTTCCACACAAGTGTTTACATGTTTCGAATGACAGAAAAATAAATGGCATGCAAACAAAATGCGATTTTGCTGATATATTATTTGTAAAGGTATAACACCTCACTGTTACAGCACACAGCATGCTTTAACACATAAATGTTGTCTATACAGTCTGGCTCTGCTCAATGCAAACGTGTGTTTACTTCTATATAAAAACCTGCAGATCTTCAGGCATGTAGCAGAACATTAGCATCGTTTTTTAGCAAAGTGCCGCAGTTATTTTTCAATTTGTGATCTTTAAAATCAAGAAGTTACCCGATGCTGGATACCTGGGACTTATATTTTCGTTGCTGTGATTTTTACTAGTAAGTTTAAAATCCTGGTGTCATGACAACCGTAGTCGTAGTGTTGTAGTCGAGACCACACTAACCGAGACCAAGACATACCCGAGACCAGAAGGCTCCGAGACCCTTCGAGACCCCTTCTTCCTAAGGACAAACGTTTAGTCTTGTGTTTATAAAGTTTAAAATGATGTTCTTGTTTTTAGAGTAAAACATCATCAACTTGATTTCTTTTATGATCGACAGTAAGTTCACGGGGAACGTCTTCTACAACTACATGATGGGCATCGAGTTCAACCCTCGGATCGGCCAGTGGTTCGACTTCAAGCTGTTCTTCAACGGGCGGCCCGGCATCGTGGCCTGGACCCTCATCAACCTGTCCTACATGGCCAAGCAGCAGGAGCTGTACGGACACGTCACCAACTCCATGATCCTGGTCAACGTGCTGCAGGTGGAGTAAAGACAGGTTCAAGTGTTGATCTCAAGCTGATGAAGAAACGTGATCAAATCTGTAATACAGAAACAAAACAAAGTGTGACACAAAACACTAGTTTTACCAAACTCCGATTTCGATCAGGTTTTTCAAACGTGCAGAAAACTCCTGATATTTTCAGGAGCAGCGTCATGTGTGAACGCAAACAGACACATTTTCAGCTGATGTGAGAACACAGCAGGATATTATCAGGAACTTCCAGAAATGATAATCTAGTTTATAAATGCACAGCGTTATATTGAAAAGGAAACACATACACGTTCTGGTGAAAAAAGAAAACAATGAAAGGTGTTTTACTTTTACTGACTCAAAGAAAAAGAGGATTTTCTGGCACAAACTTCACCAACTAACAAGGTGCATGAAGAGTTAAAGGCTTAGAAGAAGTCAAAATGCTCCAGCAACACTTGCAGTAAGAAGATCAACTTTATTAACAATTTAGACCGACGCGTTTCGGCTCGTGGCGTTCATCAGGGTCATCAAGAAACAGATTAACAAACATAATTTAAATAGGGTGGGTACACAATTGAAGGAAAGGTAAAAAAAAAATTCAGAAAGGTTATTGAGCACTGACTGAAGTCAGACCGTCCTTCTTTGACTTGAGTTTTAGGGTCTTCACTCTGAAGCAGCCATTTAAAGACACAATCATCTGTCAGACTTCTCTGAAGCTTCTTTACAGCAGAGAATTAACTTTCATGTTTTTTTTTTCATGCAGGCTATCTATGTGTTGGATTTCTTCTGGAATGAGGCGTGGTACCTGAAGACCATCGACATCTGCCACGACCACTTTGGATGGTATCTGGGCTGGGGGGACTGCGTCTGGCTCCCGTACCTCTACACTCTGCAGGTACACACACACACACACACACACACACACACACACACACACACACACACACACACACACACACACACACACACAGGAGGGATAATGTGGAGCATCAGGAGAGTCCCGGTAGCTCACCTGGTAGAGCGTGCACTTCATGGACCACGGCCTTATCAACACAGCGGCAGCCTGGTTTCGGTTACAAGGAGCTGGGGATCGAACCCCCGACCTTCATCTTTGTGCACGTCGACACATCCTAACCCTTCAAGATCTAAGATCTCCCTGTCGCACACCCTTAACTAGAAGCATGTTCTCAAGTGGATACAGATAGCCTCGGGGCGCTGGTGGCGCAGTGCGTGCGCCCCACGTATGGAGGCTGTGGTCCTCCAGGCGGGCGGTCCGGGTTCGGGTCCGACCTGTGGCTCCTTTCCCGCAGGTCTTTCCCCTCCTCTCTCTCTCTCCCTGATTTCTGACTCTATTCACTGTCCTATCTCTCGACTAAAGGCACAAGAAGCCAAAAAACTAATCTAAAAAAATAATAATTATATAGCCTCTGCAATCATTACCAACAAGGGTCAATAATTAATGTAGTCCGGCTTCTTGCCCGTCACTCTCTCTGTACTGGAAGTGTGGCCCGCTGCCAAAGTTACTCAAATGTGCCTTAAGCAGGCGACCGTGGCGCTGTCAGGAAATGGAATAGACACTGAACTCTCTGTTATTAGATCAACTTTGAAACTTCTATTTTATAGGTTTTATATGCGATTTTTTGATCCAGCAGATGTCGCCCTTGAGCACCAGCATGAAACCAAAACAACTTGCGCTGCATTGTTGTGTTAGCATGCTAATGCTAGCGATCTTTATTATGCTGGTATCTTCACACTGCATGTTAATTGACCTGAAATGAGCGTGATCTAGAAACACAGTTAAGCAGTGAGTACAGTATGTTATTCTTCTTTTCTCTAGTCCCTCAATTAAACAACTTTTATACACGAGGGGAGGAGTCAGCTGGCCGTCCGGGCGATGTAAACAAAGTGAAGATAGGACTCTGAAAACTCTGAAAACATCACAGACAGTGGGACTCGGGTGTTACACCCATTGTAGACAGTCATGACTCACAGAGTTATTTTCAGAGGAGATACTTGATTTCTACATTTAAGTGTGAAAAATCACATAGAAAGACTTTGAAGGTGCCTTAAGCAGGCGACCGTGGCGCTGTCAGGAAATGGGTTGGACGCTGATCTCTCTGTTATTAGATCAACTTTGAAACTTCTATTTTAAGTTGGTAAAGTTTCATGTTGCTGCTTTAATTTAAATGTAACAACAGTAAGTGTATCAACATGTGTTTTGTGTCTCTTCAGGGTCTGTACCTGGTCTACCACCCGGTCCAGCTCTCAGACGCTCACGCCCTGGCCGTGCTGCTGCTCGGCCTCATCGGTTACTACATCTTCCGCTCCACCAACCATCAGAAGGACCTGTTCCGACGCACCGAGGGCGCCTGCTCCATCTGGGGCCAGAAGCCGGCGTTCATCGAGTGCTCGTACCGCTCCGCCGACGGAGGCCTCCACCGCAGCAAGCTCATGACCTCGGGCTTCTGGGGCGTGGCGCGGCACCTCAACTACACCGGCGACCTGATGGGGCTCTCTGGCGTACTGCGCCGCCTGCGGCTTCGGACACGTGCTGCCTTACTTCTACATCGTTTACATGACCATCCTGCTGGTGCATCGCTGCGTGCGCGACGAGCACCGCTGCAGCAGCAAGTACGGGAAGGACTGGAAGCGCTACACAGATACTGTTCCCTACAGGCTGATTCCTGGAGTGTTTTAGACGCAGAGGGGGGTGGGGGGGGGGGGGGGGGGGCTTAGATTAAGCAACACTAGATGCTGGTTAGACATGTGGACTCAGTGATTTTTTACATATGAAGAAAATACCTCAGTGATAACATTTAGCACTTCATTTCATTCCTTCTGTAGTTGATGTGTTTTTAAACTTTGACATGTGGAGAGCTGTGGGCGAGTCCCGTTTATGACGACATCACACTTTGATACATCAGCCCTCTGTTTTGTCTAAACTGTGACCGTTTAACATGATAAAGATCATTTTCAAAAAAATGTTTCAATAAATCTACAGAAGCAGGACCAAGCTCAAGTTTACGTCCTGTTTGTTCACACAGCCGACGCTTACGGCCACACGCCCTTATGACAAGTCCCTCACTTCTCATTTACTCACCTTTACTTCCCCCAAAATGTACAGTTAATGTGAGAACATTGTTTTCATCATGTTGTGATTGAAACATATTCAGAGATCCCCCCCAAAAAAATCCAGCCAGATTTCAGATTCTTGCTCTTTTGACAAACATTTGCTTTCTTCTACAACACACACACACACACACACACACACACACACACACACACACACACACACACACACACACATTGGAATGAAGTGTGAGTGAAGTCAGAAAGAAGGAAAGGATGGATGAGATGAATGTGAACAATAATAATATTTAAAATCTTATTTTAGAATTTTGCACATTATGAATTAGGAACATGCTTTTCATAGTGACGGTCATGGCCATGTGTGTTTCTCCTGGAGCTGTTGTTCTGTGTCTGTTTCAGAGCTTTGGCTCCCTCTGCTGGTTGGTTTATGGTTTGCTTGCTGGTTACCTGGGAGAGCTTTACAGCGTGCAGTAAAACAAAACATGGATGGATATATAGCATGCATGTCCATACGTACATTTAGTTCTTCATACAAGCACAAGCACTTTCACACAGACTCGCACGGCCATAGTTTAGGAGATTTGCCTCAATTATCTCAATCAGAATATATGCAGCAACAGACATCATACACACAAAAATGTTTTTATAAAACAAGGTCAGGTGCAAATCAAGTCTACTGGAGAATCTGCTGATCTTATGTGTAGCGGCAGGTTGTTCCACATTCACACCAAATAAAGCTTTCAAATTGATCATGGGATGGCTAGAAGTCCTTGTTCCGATGATCTGAGAGGCTTAGCTGAAATGTATGTGGATATGAATTCTGTGATGTAGATTGGGGGGAGGCCATGAAAAGCTTTGACATGAGAGAATATTGTAAGTGATCCTGTTCTGAACCGGGAGCCAGTGGAGGGACGCTAGAAGAGGTGTCATGTGAGCCATTGTTTTTGTGTCTGCAAAGGAGTGTGGCTGCAGCATTTTGAACAAGCTGGTGAATAGAGGCGTGTAGAGGATATCAAGGCATGCACCTGGTCCAATCCTGCTGCCCTCTAGCAAGGCACCAAACCCCTTTCTGCTCGTGGAGCTTGAGGTCTGAAGCCCCCTCACTCTGACATCTTTCTCTATTAGCACATGTCCATAACGGTCCTGTTTGTGCATGTGTGTGTTGCATGTTCAATGACAGATTGAAAGAGAAACTCCCCCGTGGGATTACAGTTTGTCAGTTTTATACAAACCAAAAACTGAACTATGCAAACAACTCTTTTAATTTGAAGCTCATGTTTCAACAGCATGACTCCAAACTGTTAAACTCTGAGCACAATCCCATCGACCTCACTCAAAATATCATATCAAGTCACAGCCGTGCAAATCTCTGGACACAAAATGCATTCAGCAAGGAACACTGGCCTTCAAAATAAAACACCATAATTACTAATTTTGTCTCACTCGTGTTTCTCCTGTTTGTATTTATGCACTGACTTTCTTTTTGAAGGGTTTCTCATTGAACTTACAGGTGAAATTATTATGTTTTTCTACATACATACTTAAAATAGGAAACATTTGTGTTGCATAAACATGTTGGACTGTAAATGCTATTTCGGGAGAAAAATCCTACACTTCATCAAAATGATAAAAAGGAGGCCAAAACACATGATCACTTTTTATGATAGTGTTTTGAATTGATCACATCAGTGTTTATTTTAATGTTTATCAGTGTTTATTAGTGCTCTGTAACACACATAGACAGTAAATAATAAGGTTTTTTGTTAATCTCTGCTGTAAAAACAGGCTTTTTTTGAATGGGTGTGTATGTGACTTCCTGTGCTTCTGCAGCCAGCCTCCAGTGGACACTCCACTTGAGGAACTGCACGAGGTTGCACCTCTCACCCTCATTTTTCAACCCCCACGGAGGTTGCCGCTTGGTAACACATAATAAGCATACAACATCTGTGTGCACTGGGGGAAAGAATCCGTCCTGAGAAGAGGGAACTTGATTTTGAGTGTTGTGTTTTTATTTTGTAAGACATCTGTGGAGTTCTGACAAAGCAGTTAACTCTTTAATGTTTTGAGCAATTGAGCCACAACATGTCCAATCTTCTCCCTGTTACGTGGCGTGAGACCTCTCCGGCAGCAGAGGGCGCTAAGTCACAGAGAATCCCCTGACAGTGTGATCTCACAGCTGGATCAGTTTAAATACCAACCAGGTGAGACAACCACAGTGACAGCAGAGTTCTCACAGCACTTCTTTGATCCTCGTATAATTACCGTCCATCAATATTCTACAAACATGCAAGTTATGTTATGAGGAATAAATAAATCATGCTGGAGTTTATGTGAGAAGCTCCCGCTCGTTCCCCTCAGAGATGACTACTTGAACTGTCGAATGGATGTCATTACCAAAGGTGTAAAGGTATCAGAGGTCAGTGGTCAAATGACTGGGTATAAACAGCTGGAGGGATAATTATAGACCACGGCGTCTTCAGAGGGGGGGCATGTTCGGGCTCGCCCTCCACCACTGAAGAAGGACGGTGTGTTTGATGTGATCAGTGCAAGTTCACACACAGTCTGGCCTTTTGCTTCTGTTTGATGCTTTTGATCCTCGTGAGCAGATCTCCATAAATTCTGCTGCTTCAAAGAGTGTGTGAGAAAGAAATGTGTGTGTGTCTATGAATGAATAATTAATGAATCGACAAATACAGAATTGTGATTTTTGAAGTCTTTTTATTCATCCTATATCTGTATGAACGTGTGTGTGTGTGTGTGTGTGTGTGTGTGTGTGTGTGTGTGTGTGTTTCACTTGACAGGCCTGTCACCTCACAGCTCCGCCCCCTGCCGTGCGGTCACTGCTCACACAGTGGAGTCGTCGCTGGGGCAACCGGGATCAGGAAAAACAACATGAAACAATTTGAGAAAGCATGTCAGCGAGAGAGAGAGAAAAGGCAGCAGAGTGAGAAAGAGATTATCTCATTTCCTTCACCACTTGTCATGCAATTGGAGGTTTTCCCCTCGGCCTCTAGGGGGCGGCAGAGAGGAGGTGAACAGAGTCCACATGGCTACCACAAGTTCACATACCAACCCCAGATAATACATCTGTCGACTCCATTGTGCAGCGGCAGGAGATAACACACACATACTTCTCAGCACAGGCACAGAATGATCTTAAATGTTCATCTCACGTCATGAATATTTATTTTCAGCTCTTTTTAAATTGGGTAAAACACCTCACAGGTTAAGATGGCAGCATTTCTTAAGATATATATAGCCTCCTTCTGTATCTCTTTTTAAAATCTCTGACACATCAAATTACAGTCCTGCTCCTGTCGGGATGCTCGGCTCGAATGGTGTTGCTCTGCGAGGAGAGTTGTGGAACTATTTGTTGGCATCTTTAGATGAGAATAAAGATACATCAGATAAAGATTTGGCCAGATGTTTCCTCGTATGAGAACAATTTCCGTACTGGCACACCATAACCATTCATAAATACACCTCATGCACGACAGGGCTGTCACTTCAAACAGGCTTCTGTGTGTGTGTGTGTGTGTGTGTGTGTGTGTGAGGGGAGCGTGGATATGCTGTGTGTGTTTTTTAGGAAATGCAAATGTGCACATTCAAATGTATTCAGTTAAATTAATTAATGTGGTTATTATGCTTTCTAGTGTTGACTTGAGTTTGAAGAAAAAAAGTTGTGATGACCTCAAAGGGTCAAAAAGGTCACAACTCTTCGCGCCCCCGTGTCTGTTACAGAAACACGCCGTCCTTGTTGCACGCTGAATGATTAGCACATTTTTCAGACTGCAACTTTACCTCTATAAAGTTCTGTAACTGAGCTCAGCCGTCATCACGTCTTTGTTCGTTCATATTAATTCCTGTCTGTGAATTCACATTGCAGTTTGCCGTTGAGGATGCACGGCACAGCGGGAGCTCATCACCTCTACTACTACCTCTGAAGACGGTACAGAGGGAGGATCACTCCCCCCCCCATTACGCCGCCATGACATTCAGATTGAAGTAAAAAAGTCACAGGGGCGTAAATGTCTCGCCTTGAAACAGCAGTCGGAATAGGGCTAGAGTGTGTTAATAGTTATCAATACAATATGTTTCAAAACGATAGAATTGTCATGATTTGGTCTTATTTAGTTTTGTATTTCAGAGTTTAGGTTTCCATGTTTTAATTTCTCCTGTTTATCCTTTGTGTTGCTTGTTTCCCTTTATGTGTTTTTGTCTTAATGTTTCATAGTTCAGTCTTTAGTGTATCATGTTTTATTTTGTAACTTCATACCCTTTTGTTTCTTTATGTTCTAGTGTCTTTTTGTTTAATTCTTGAGTTCTGTGTCTTCAGTGTTTCATGATTTAGTTTGTAGTTGTCCTCAGTGTTTCTTGTATTTTGTTCCTGCCTCTGTGTGATTGCCCTGATTGTCTTCACCTGTGTTTTGTTAGTCTCACCTGTGTTTGATTACCCCTGTGTCTATTTAGTCTCTGTGTTTCTTCCTGTCTGTGTCGGGTTTTTTTTTTTTTCATTCGTGAATTTTATTTCATAAAAAAACAATAAAGTTAAGAAAAACAAACAAACATAAAATCTCAAATTTTGAATGAAAAGGAGCAGAGAGAAGATTAATCTTATAATATCTGCCCCTCTTTTACGAAACATTAATTAAAACAAAACAGAACACTTAGTTCATTGTTGTTTGTTTGTAATTATGTCGTATGTTGTTTGTTCAGAGTAGTTGTCTGTCACTGTCAGAGTTTCTAGTGTTTCCTTGTTTTCCCTTTTTGGATTTTGTTCTTGTAAGTTTTTGTTTTGCATTTTGCATCTAGCCTTTTCCTTAAAATAAATAGTTTTTGTTAAACATCTGCACTTGGGTCCAGTTCGTTATCAAGAATATCTGTTATCTTAAAGACAGGGTTGGTAATTTCCTCCAGATCCACT